GTGTGTGTGTGTGTGTGTGTGTGTGTGTGTGTGTGTGTGTGTGTGTGCGCCTGCATGCATACTGTCCCAAAAGTCTTACTTTAGTTCTAAACTTTAGTATAAATTAAGTTACAATAAACATTGGTACATTTTATTCTTTATTGGGTGTTCTTATAGAACCTAATAAATACTCTAGTATATTGAAACAGTAAGTTTTGTCATTAATAGTTTGGAAACATGAAAAAGTCAAAACTTCCCTTAGAAAGGAAGTTAAATTATAATACGGGAGTTGGCTAAGTGCAGAGAGAATCTGAATGTCTATTCAAGAATCTCATTTATTGACTATACATGCTGTTTGAAGGTACATCCAAAATCTTTGCTTTATAGAATGCCAAAAGGTTGGAACGCAAGCCTAGTCTTTGCTCTCAGATTTCAGTGATGCAAATGAGAAACAGTATGGCTAGTTCAAGTGACAGTGAAGATGGCTTGCAACATTTCCTCCGGGGGACCTCCACTGCATCCTCTATTCGTAAGTAAACTTAAAGAGTGATGATGTGAATTATATCTTGATTTAAAATGGTTCTCAAAAAAAAATGGTTCTCATGGGGAAGACATTTAGTATGAGCAAATGTGAATGGAGAGATGGTAAAAGATGGGTAGTTAACTTCCTCATCCAGAGATGGTAAGAAGACCACAGAATGTTATACACTTGGTCTCTTAATTTTGCAAATACATATTGGGTCATTCATAAATAAGGGAAAAATGAGAAAAAAAACCAGAGCTAATTAATTTTTGTGATACTTATTTTACACACTATCTTATATTCAAAGTTTTAATCCATTAAACCATTTAAATAAAACCATATCCATATGTTCACTGGGACCTAATTTGATGGTTAGCTTCTGTTATTTTGTTTGGACCGTTAAAGTAAAACCTCGTACAGTTCTAACTCTCCACTAAGAGTTATAGTAATGAAGACAGCTGGATGTTTGTATCTTGGCTGGTTGTTTCCTAGTGTGAGCAGCCAGGTGTCCACAGCTGGCTTGGAAGCTTAACATCCCCGAAGATGAGAGTGGGAATGGGAGAAATTAACAGCTTTTGTGAATGACACCTTTCAGAGTACTCTAGCTGCTGATGCTACAAGACAATAATTTACCCAGGGAAGACTCATCTGTGGCTAAGATAGTTAAAGGCAATTAATGAACACTAACAACATAAATATGTGCTGAAGATCAAAAGCTAAATTATCATTCCTTGCCTTCTGGACTAACACCACTACTACTACTACTACTACTACTACTACTACTACTACTACCACTACTACTACTACTACCACCACCACCACCACCATCACTGTTTCTGCTGCTACTACTGCATATTGAAGACCATTCAACAAATCCAAGGGAAAACATAAAATGCGTGGATTTTCTACACTTGCATGTCCTAAGTGACTTCTATCAATGTTTTAGATTGGATTTTAAACTTCAGTAAATATTAAACACCAAAGGACTTTATCTCCCAAACCTAAGCATTTATGTGTTTTAATCTTATATAATTTATATGTTATGGATAAATTAAGTCAAATATTCTGGTTATTAATGCATTCAGGGGGAAAAAGTGATTTCCAAGGGACAAAATTGGTACAAACCTTCGAAGAGTCATTTAGGCATGGACAGTCCTTCGTGGTTGACCAAAAAATTATATCACTTTAGATACAAAATGGTGAGCAATTGTCTTTAGGTTTCTTCCAGTATAATTTCCAAAAGAGTTGACTGATTTTGACTAAGTTTGGAACACTTTCTAAAAGATGTGAAGATAGACCTTCTGTTCAATTTAAGATTGTCTACTGTCTTGAAAGTATGATAGCAAGCAGAATGTTTCAGATGGGCCCATGTGCTAAAATGTTTTGTGGAGTTCGTTGAAATTTTCTGTATAGATAGAAGTTACAAAGGTATATGACTGAACTGAGTGAGGTCTACAATTCATACCACTAAAAAGGTAGTTATGAAGTCAAAAATTAAGATCCATATGAATGATGAACTGTTTCCCCATTGAATAAATTGTTATTCAATAATTATTATTCCATACTTTCTTTGATTAATTAGATTATCAGTGGATATGTACCAAAAACAGGCTCCATAGTATATAAAGTTATTTATATGTGATTTTTGTTGGCATATGATTTTTTATTGTAAGAAGTTTTTAATAGAGTAAAATAAAAATTTAAGGAAAATGGTTTCAGTTCATTGGTTCATTTCACTATACAATATCCTTTCTCCTGGGAACAGTTGCATATGTAAGTGGGTTTAAAATGGACTTTACTTGGTTCCAATTTCTTTTGTACCTTTCTAACAAAAACATAGTACTGGAGGCTTTTTAGAATATGTGAAATTCTGCATATGGACTGGCATAACACAATAAAACCTATAGTCTATCCCAGATTGTCTGAGACCATATCAACCACATAAATCTAGAAGTCCTTCATACCTACTTTACATTGCTTTGAAGCAAAGTCTGTGAATCAGGAATAAGGTTTCATTTCTTACCCTGTTCAATCTCCAAGCCAGGCTTTTAGCCATCCAGCTGGTCCAGAACCATTCTTGGTTACTCTTTGAAAATGTCAAATGACAGGCCCTAAGGTCTAGTACTGCTCATCTGCAACTGGCCCTTTTCTTTCACTTTCCTTCCTCTAATAGATAGCTTCCTGTGGCAGTGATAATAGTGGTATTTAATCTGAATATTACCTTGCCCAGGGGTGGGGAATCTGTGGCCTCAAGGCCTCATGTGGCCCTCTAGGTCCTCAAGTGCAGCGCTTTGACTGAATCCAAATAGATTTTGGCCTCACTTGAGGATCTAGAGGCCTGCATGTGGCCTCGAGGTCACAGGTTCCCCACACCTGGCCTTACCTGTGACCACTTTTGAAAGAAGCAGCATCTCCTTTTGCAAAGCAGCTGGTGAAAAACTGCTGGGGGGCCTTCCTGTCATCATCGGCAATCCTAAGGATAGCTGAGGTGCTGAATTATCTCCTATATTTCTCAACTCTGATGATGATAGTGATAATAGCTATTTTTTAGATAGTGTTCTAAGGTTTGCAAAGCACTTCACATGTACTACTTCATTTGATCCTCATAAAAACCTTGTGAGGTAGGCAATGTTATTAACCTCATTTTACTAGTGAATAATATGGGGTGGAGGGAAGTGAAGTAATTTGCTCAGGGTCACACAGCTAATAAGTGTTAGAGGCACGGGTATTCCTGACTCTGAGTCATTCTGTCCATTGTATTACCTAGCTTGCTGCTCATGGACAGTTATGTATATGTATACATAAGATTGTATATGTATATGTATACATATATAGATGTATACATATTTATATATTTACACACATATATGTATAGCTACACATATATACATATGCATACACACACACACACACGTCTCTCCCTCCCCCACCTCCCATGACTGTAATGCTTTGCCCCCTCACCCCTGTCTCTTAGTTTACTTGGATTCCTTCAAAACTCAGTTCATTCCATCTTCTGTGCAAGGCTTTTCCTGGTCACCTCAGCTGCTAGCACCTACTCCTCTGAAATCACCTTACATTAACTCTGTATATGTCTTTTATATACCCAGATATTTACATTTTATATCCTCTCAATTAAAATGTGCACCCCTTGAGGACAGGGACTGTGATGTTCCTTGTATTGCCAGTCCTAAGCACAGTGCCTAGTACATAGTAAGTGTTTTAAGAAATGCTTGTCAGGGGGCAGCTAGGTGGCGCAGTGGATAGATCACCAGCCCTGAAGTCAGGAGGACCTGAGTTCAAATCTGACCTGGGATCAAAAACTTAATACTCACTGGCTGTGTGACCCTGGGCAAGTCACTTAACCCCAATTGCCTAAAAGAAAAAAATGATTAAAAAAAAAAACAAAGCAAACAAGAATGCTTGTTGACTGACAGAGGGTAGTTAGCAGGAAATGGGTGGTTTCTTTTTTATTTGGTGTGGGAAGTAGAAGTCAGAGAGGGAGAAAAATTGATTCAGTTTGGAACTTGTTGAATTTGAGGTACCAGCAATATATACAGATAATGTGGGATGGCACTTGAAAATTCAAAATTAAGGCTCATGAAGAGTTTGGGCTACAGATAAGGATTTGGGCAATGATCTGCATAGAGGTACAATTGAAACCGTGAGGCTTGGTAAGACATCCATGATTAAGAGGCAGCTTGGTTGAGTGAAAATAACACTGGATTTGAAATAAAAGAATTTAGAGTTGAATCTTGGCTCTCATTTGCTACCTGTGTGATAGGTGACAACTTTTTTTTTTCCTCATCCATAAAATGAGGATGACTTCCATCAAAACTAGATGACTTCCAAGGTATCTACCAGTTTTAAATCAATGATCCTAGGAACTATTTATTTAATGCTTATTTTGTGAACAGTGTTTCATGTGAATGGAAAGAGGCTATTAACTACTGCACCTAGGATATATAACTAGTTTAGCCATGGACAGGTGACTAAACTCCTAGAAAGCTCAATCTGCAATTACTTGTGTTTATGTCTTCACTCTTCATTTGTAGTGCATGCTCTGGAGCTATCTTTCCAGATCCTGCTCATACTCACCAGCTGGGCCCCAGGGGTGTCTGCTATGTCTTCATTCAGGGTTCCAGGGTAACTCTAAGGATTTAGGTGTCATAGGGTATCTTTCTTTTTTTTAATTTATGGAATAAAACAAGCATTTCTGTAACAGTACAAAACAAAAGATGATCGCATATGAAACTGCAAATCTACTATGTATAACTTGCTACTCCTTTTAAATGTGCAACAAAATTATAATGTAAATTTTTTTCTTTTTCCTTTCTTCCCCCTCCCCTCCCCTGCCCTAGAGATAACCACCATTAGACACAAATGTGTGTGTGTGTGTGTGTATATACACATATATATGTATGTATGTATATATACACATGAATATATACATGCACATATATACACATATACATCTATTTATAGTTCTTTCTCTGGATGCAGATAGCATCTTTCTTCATATGTTCTTTATAGTTAATTTGGGTATTTATAATACCCAAATAACGAACTGATGCTGAATTAAATGAGCAGAACCAAGAGAACATTGCACACAGTGACAGCCACGTTGTGTGATGACTAACTTTGATAGACTTATCTCTTCTCAGCAATGCAAGGATCTAAGACAACTCCAAAAGATTCATGATGGAAAATACTATCCACATAGAGAGAAAGAACTATGGAGTCTGAATACAGATTGAAGCATACTATTTGCTCTCTCTTTTTTTTTTTGTTTCTTCTTTATCGTGGTTTCTCCCATTCATTCTAATTTTTCTTTACAACATGACTAATGTGAAAATATGTTTAATAAGAATATATATAGAGAACCTATTTCAGATTGCACACTGTCTTGGGGAGGGAGGAGAGGAGGGAGGTGGAGAAAATTTGAAACTCAAAAACTTATGGAAGTGAATGTTGAAAACTAAAAATAAATAAATTTAAAAATTAAAAAAAGAAAAGAATGAAAAAATAAAAATAGTCAAAATAACTTATTCACTCAAAGTCACCCTTAAAATAATATTGCTGTTACTGTATACAGTGTTGTCTTGGTTCTGTTCATTTTGCTCTTCATTATTTTGTGCAAGTCTTTCCATTCTTGTCTAAGATCATTGAGCTCATCATTTCTTATAGCACAGTAGCATTCCATCACAATCATATACCAGAACTTGTTCATCCATCCCCCAGTTGATGGGGTGCCTTTCTAACGCTATACCTCACCCAGTATGCTTCTTAACTGTGGTTATCAGTTGCCACCCATTAGTTAGCCAACGTTAATTAGCTTTTAGAAAAGGCCATTTGCTGAGGTGTTTATAGTTGATATGATATATCCTCTTCCTCCTTTCCCCTCCTTCTAAAGTCTGTGACTTGGTCTCCCATAAGTACATATAGAACACAAGGGAAAGTGGAATCAAATGGAAAGAGTACATGTGGTCAAATGGTAACTCACAGCTCCTGAAAGTCGTTTCACTGGAGTTCTCAAGATGCTACAAGTTAGTTATGGTAGATCTTTTTCCACAGGGCTCCTTGTAGAGCCTTCAGTGTGCCTTTGCTTATCATGTTCAGTCTGTTCTTGACTCCCAATAAAGACAATGCCATTAGTTGTTTTGGGATGCTAGTCTTAGTGGGAAAATTCAAATCCTCTAGATTCTTCGAAGTTCACAAGATCCTCCTCCAGCCAAAAGAATGGCAAGAGTGGGGTGGATAAAGCGTTTCCCTTTCCCCATCAAAGTAATTTCGTTGCAAGGGCTTGGCATGAGACTTTTGCCACTAAGCTATGAGGTGACTCCACACTAGCTTGATTGTTTTATACAAGTCCTGCAGGAACCTAGTTCTCTACAAGTCCAAGAAATTAGTTGAAATGCCTTTGATTGATTCAATGTAGATTCCAGGACTTTGTTCACACCTGTTCACACCTCTGATTGAATCCATTGATATATGTTCTCACCTCATAAAGGTATCAGGAATAAGTGGAGTGAGATTATTGATTGATTGACTTAATAGAACACCCCCTCCCCCCATCTCTATTCATTCCTCAATCTCTTGCAGTCTAGCTTTCATCCACTCCATTCTACAGAAACTGCTTGCTTCAAAGTCACAGATGACCTCCTAATTACCATATCCAATGTGCTTTTCCCCTGTCAAACATCATCTTGGTTTATCTCCTTGCAGCATTTAACTCTTTTCACTCCCCTTTCTTTTGGATACTCTTACTCTTCTACCTCCCCCCCCCCATTTGGCTTTCTTTTTTTGTTTGTTTGTTTGTTTGTTTTTTAGGCAATTGGGGTTAAGTGACTTGCCCATGGTCCCGCAGCTAGTAAGTGTCAAGTATTTGGTCTGAGGTCGGATTTGAACTCAGGTCCTTTTGACTTCAGGGTCGGTGCTCTATTGAGGTGTGCCGCCTAGCTGCCCCTCCCACTTTGGCTT